GTCCCCCGTTCCGGTTCAAGCTATTTTTTATTGTGTTTCTTTTCTTAAAGTTGGCGATGCCTAAGAATTTTCGCAATGGGCACCAAAGCTGCGTTTGGAGAGTTCAGTCTACGTCCAGGTAGAAGACGCGCTACCGGACCTGTAAAAACAGTGCAATTTATTTGTTTGATTTGCTGCACTGCGCTGTGGGGAGACCGCTTGAACTCTGCTAGCACTGCTTCTCTGCGCATTGTGAAAACCCCGAAGTTTGTAGAAGTTTAAAGCCATTCTCCTTCCTCTCTCTCCTCTCGACTAGCCAAAAGAGAAACAATTTTTTTTACGAAACTGACTAGAAGTTCGAAAATTAACTAGTCGAACCTCAAAGTTCCACGTCGAACCTGAGGTTCGACAAGAGTTCGCCGCACCCTTAGAAATAGCCCAAAAATAGCCACATAGCCAAAGGCGAAATTTTGACGCCAACTAGAAGAAGATGTAGCCCAATTTGGCTATATATAGCCCAATCTGGCAACACTGGTTGATGGTGACGCTCTACGCTGACTTTTCCAGAGAAAAGAGATGTAGTAACTAGCGATAGATGGCGCCACGTCTCCCAGCGGTGCCGCGTTTTGAACACGAGCGCGGAGCGCGCGCAATAAAAGATCATTCGTTCGAATCTCCATGCTGGCTGATGCGTAATGCTTCCTACAAGCACCACCTGCGCTCTACAAACCTGCTGAGAAAACAAACTTTAAGAGCTCTGTATGGGGAAAATTTCTCACAGCTGTGGACTCCAGGACGTTGGTGCCCAAAGGACATGTTCAGTGTCGTTCGTTCAAAGACCGGAATGTCTCATCTCAGTCGTCAGAAGTGCAAGGTTTCATCGAACAGCGAAAGCATTATTTTTTTTTTTTTTTTTATCACCTCAATGCTCTGAATTTTCCGTGCCCGCGGACGTAAAAGAGAAAGTGACAACCGCGTGCGCGAAAGGTATCCATGCTAAAATCCGCTTGCTCTCAGTTCGAGGCGATAGAAGCTCTACTGGAGTTAAGGAAAGATCCAGTGATGGAAAGCGTGAACAAGACAACACTCAACGAGTGAATCGAGTTCCTGCAACCCTCCAAAGATGCTAGTGACGCGCTCGAAAAGGAAAAACGTTCAACACTTTCTCTGGTTGTGCTTTACGCTTCCGCGTTGAGGAACCATCTTGAACATGCTCCGGTGTCTGCAGTAGAGGTAGTGGAAATCGAGAAGATCAAGGCCCATGTTCGTCATTTCCTGGACACGAAGCTAAAAATGTATCTCCTCCACAAGACTGTCACATTTCTCTGGCCTCAGTTCCGCCAACTCCGCATATTGCCCGAGGACGAGCGCCTTGAAGTCTACGCGCACGTCAGAGAGCTACTTGCCAGTGCCACTGAAGCAATGAGCCAAGATGAAGATAAGACTGACGAAGATGTTCGAGATCCCGCCTTCAAAAGAAGTTGCCTGGGTTTTCTCGAGACTTTTATGACGTGGAGGATGATAAGGTAGCCACCGATGAATTGAAGGAGAAGTACGGCAAGAAGCACAACTCGTGCTCAGGAGTTTTTGAGCTTTGCGACTTTTAGAGAGCGCACGAGAAGAATTTCCCGAAACTGTTCTTTTTCTATCCAAACGCATCTTGTGCATCCCCGAGTGCTAGCAGCGAAGAAAATCTTAGCGCGGCAGACTACGTCATGCAAGCAAGGCGTACCTGCCTGAAGAAAAAGTTAATGGACCATTTATTGTTTCTCCGCAAAAACATGTAGGGAGGAAAGTTCTCTGTGAAACTAATTAAATAGAACAACAAAAAGTGCAATATCTGTTCCAGAAATTCCTAATTATAAAAAGTCCCTTCTTGTGTCTCATGAATTCTCGGTGTGCCGTAAGTTCAAAGACTGTCGCAAATGATGTGCATATTTCGCCCATATTCTCGAAAATACATCTTCTAAGTCGGCATATTTCTGGTGTCAAGAAAATCTCGGTCCCAGATTTCCGGCTCGGGCCGGGCTCGGGTTCACATAATAAAATTTTACTGGGCTCTCGCCGGGCCCGGGCCGTGTTTCTACCGGGCCAGGTCGAGCCGGGCCTAGAAATTCAAAATTTTGTCGGGCTCGGGCCGGGCCCGGGCCATGCCTTACCAGAGCCGGGCCCGGGCCGTGCCTTACCAGGGCCGGGTCGGGCCGGGCCTAGAAATTCCGGCCCGTGCAGTGCGTTTACCTCAAAGTGACTCTTGAACCTCGAACTTGCTTTGATCAACCCTACTAGAGCAGAGCGATTTTTTTAACGTGATCCTATCTTAAGCATGTTTGAATCACCGAATCGATGCACGATTATTAGTTAAACACTGCCGTCGTGCTTCCGAGTGTGTGTAGCATTGTTAAAAATATCTATAAAGACTGCTTTATTGCAAGACTTTCAAGAGGCGCTCTCTGGCCCCCATTTAAAGTGGCTAAAATGTTCTCTAAATCCAAAAGCTTGTGAAACCCTGCTCTAGAGAAATAACGCAAGCCAGAGTGGTTCTGTCGTCATGACTGTGGTTAGTTCTGTGTATGGCGCCCACTTGAGGCTGTGTTTTTAGCGGTTCTCGGAAAAATCCTGGGAAGCGCATGGTATCGATCACCAAAAGCATCCACTAAACTTGTATACTATTTTGCACCATGTGCAAACATCTTTCCTTGGGACAATGTTACCTTGTAAACTTGTAATGTGTTGTAACGCAAACCTTCTTGCTGCCTAACAGCACACATATAGAGCTCTGCAGAATTCTGCCCAAGTTTAACCCATGACACAAATCATTACACAATTCTATATGATGCGCTTCCAAAAAAAAGGCTTTTTACGGTGTGAGTGGCTGATATTGTGTGCAAACTTTGCCTGCATGGCTGTACGATGTAATATAAAGACAATAAAGAACAAAAATGAACAATCAAAATTTTAACATTTCGATATTTATTGTTCTAGAAAGAGCATCCGACATGCGGATTAGTAAATTTTCTTCGATTAAACACAGTAACATGTCATCTTAACGACTACGTACGTCGAGGGGCTTACTATGAAAATGCAACAATCAAGTTATCGGATTAAACAGCAAGCGAAACACGTTTTTTTCTCATGCGCTGTTTTAGTATAGTTGTCAGAAGGAAAAACCTGTCTTCCTCGTTAGTATAGTGGTCAGTATCCCCGCCTGTCACGCGGGAGACCGGGGTTCGATTCCCCGACGGGGAGAATTTTTTTCTTTTTTCTATTTTTGGCACTATTTTTGCACCACTGCAAAAATTCTGCAATCTAATATTATCTGCGATTTTCTTTTTCACAAAATTTTTTTATGGATTTTTTTATGTTTGATTTGAACCGATAACGAAATGTTACTACAAAAATAAGTACAAATTAAGATTAAATAAAATCATATAGAGTCAGCTCAGTTGGTAGAGTCTCCACGAGTCGTCTAGGGGGCACTAGTGCCGCTCCAATTCAGGCTCAAGTTAATTTATTCTTGCGTAACTACCTATATATATTATGTGGTTGGACATGAGCATGAGGACCATGCTGGAGATTATGCAGTTAATCGGGGCGAGAAATGTTTTCTGAAAATAGAACGATTGGGGTTCTCTCCAGTTTGTGTAGACCCAAAACTGCCCCTTTTGCTACTTAAAATTAAGACGCTCCGCAAGCGGAACAAATTGGGCGAAATTGACGAGGATCAAGCAAAAACGCAGGATGTTGCACTAACTTGTATAAAAATAAAGGGCTAGCTGTGCCAGCTGCTTCCAAAAGAGGGCCAGGTGACGACGATGCTGTATAAACTGCGAGGAAGGTTACGCTAAAGGATATTGAAGCAATAAAGGGGTAGCAAAGGTTTAGTACTCTTTTTGTTTTAAATTACTAGAACTCCCACCGGCACAAAACACTCATAGGCTGGTATTAACTATTTTTAAATGTGAAATCGTCACCACCGTGATTAGGTAAGAAAAACGTAAATGTCTTTTCTAGCAATTGTTATTAGTTATTAGAGCATGAAATTATTTTCAACACTAACCCCAACCCCAAAATTTTGTCCGTTCGTCCGTCCGTGCATTTCCCACTAAATTTAGCGGAAAAACTGGTGTCACGTGACCAATACGGGAATTAAGTTTCCCCGCTAAATTTAGCGGAAAATTTGATGTCACGGGACCTACAGAACAGTTCAGTTTCCCCACTAAAATTCAGCGGAAAAATTGACGTCACATGACGTATGCACCTCTAAATTTGGCGGAAAAATTGATGTCACTTAACGTCACGTCACGGGAACTATACACTAATGCAGTTTCCTTGCTATATTTAGCGGAAAAAGTAGCGCCCTGTGATCCTACATCACGTGACCTTTACCTTATACATATATATATATATATATATATATATATATATATATATATATATATATATATATATATGTTGATGCTATGTGAGCTACACTATACAAGACTGAATACTGTAAACGACTAAATTTTCGCGAATCGCGTCCCGCGAGCTGCTCGCGGGACGCAATTCGTGAAAATTAGAACCCGCGAATAATTTAAAATTTTCAGCTTTGGCCCGATTCGCGAAAATTTGAGACCGCGAAAATTCTGTCCTTTACAGTATAGCCTTCTGAAAAAGTTAAAATTATCACTTCTTACATTCTTCATTTCATCACTATAGAACTTTGAAGGTAAAATCAGTCGCCAATTTTCTCTAGCAAATTTTGTAGTTGGGTGAGTCTGTGCATGTCACAAGAAAAAGTAAAACAGCGCGAACGGACATAAAGGCAAGTAAAAAAAATGTAAATAAAACAGCACCAAGAGGGAGAGGGTATGTGAAAGAGGATGGTGGCATAGTTGGTGAAAAGAAGGGAGCTGAATTTGGTCTCCTGGTGTTTCGTCTAGATTCCTGAAGTTGAAAAACCTTCAAATGTAATTCGGGGCTTATGAAGCTTTAAAAAAAAGAAAAGAAGCATTCTTAATTTGTGTGCCGGGAAAGTTTACCTTTCGGGTATGTATGGTGAAACGTTGGCTCCTTGAATTCGTTGTATCTCCCGATTGCCCAAACGAGATATGTGTCGCCGTCAGCGTTAAAGGCCTGGTCACCGTCGTCGTCTGAAAAAGCAACAAAAATATGAACATCAGATTTAATTGATGTGCATTGACGGGGTAAATGCATGCCCTAAATCAGCGGTGACCAAACCACTGCTCTTCGAGGGCCCAAGCGCGCTTCGCGGCTCCCTAGGGAACCTATACCTACTTCCCCCCCTCTGTCCCAGCTAGATCAAAACGGTAGCAAAAGAAAGAAGGGAAGTTCGTGTTTCGTCAAGTTGGTGCCATCATACACACTCCGTGCCTCTCCTCCTCCCCTCCTCCTCCCGTCCTTGTCCCCTCTTCCTCTGCTCCTTGCCCTCCCCTCCTTTCCTCCTCTTTCTCCTCTCCCCTATTCCTACTCCTGCCAACCACATTTTGGCTGGCACTGTGACACATCACGTAGATCTGACGCTTGTTGAATTTAAATTTCAAGTGACAAGCGCCAAGTGAAAATATTTTGATTTTTGTTTTAGAGCGCAGCTCTTAGGTGCCCGTTTCCGGCTCGAGCGGCGTCGCCGTCGGCGTAACCGCGCGCGTTGCATGATGGGACGTTTTCCCGCTAAAGTTACTGAGGAAATTTCCCCGCTAAATTTAGCGGGGAAATTGACGTCTCGTTACTTCAACACCTAATTCAGTTTCCCAGCTAAACTTAGCGGGGAAAATGATGCCACGACTTCGTGTCACGTCACATATGAACAAATTCAGCGGCAGGAGGAGAGGAGGAGGAGTAAGCGGGGAAGGGGATGGGAGGGCATATCCTCTCCTCCGTAGCCTCCCTTCCTCCACCTTAAGAGCTGCGCTCTAGTTTCGCATTACAGAGAGTTGTAAACGACTTTAATTTTTTGTTTAAAAATACTGTAGACCCTGCCGGGGGGTTCCAAGAAGGAGGGTACATAATCAATAAAACAAAAAAACGCTATTCATATACCTGTATAAAAACTGAAAATAGAAAATAAAACAGACACCAATATACGCAAAAGCGTAGAAATTGCCAACGTGGCAAAATAACCTTCGACTTAAAAAATAGAAATACAGATTAAGGGTTGGCATTACATGTACCACGCACGAAACCGGAAAAATAATGTTATGATACATAGCGCATTTAGAAAGTAGATAACACCGCACAAGGGAATCTTATGGCACGAAAATACATTTCAGAAAGGTGTCGTCATCTTGAAAAGCTGCTGAAGTAATCCATTCTAATAGTTCATCATGTTGGGAAAAAATAATACTTTTATGCATCAGCTCTCGCTAAAAGAGGCTCGACAGATTTTGAGTGTGTGTCGTGATTGCTGTGTTTGGGACTTTTGGATAGCGGATGGTTTCAAGGCTAATTTATGGAAATAGAGCGAATAAAAAACTTCAACTATCTTTCTGCGCACGTGGCGAGGCTGAAGGCCTGCTAGGTTCAGCATAGCTGCAACTGAGTTTCGTCTACTGTATGTTATGTTCATAAATCAAACTTATAGCGGCTGATTTTTTTTTCTAATTTAGCAATATCAGCCTTCAGGTGTGGGTCCCGTATCTTACAACTGCACTTGAGGGTAGACGAAACGACGTTTTTGTAGTCCAGGAGCTTGACTTCTCTTGGAATATTGTCGAGCCTTTGCCTAAGCAAGCCCAATATTTTATGGACCGCTGAAAACATTATATTTATATGTTTTGTATATTTCAGGTTACCTGTGAAAGTTAACCCTAAGTATTTGCACTCCGGAACTTCATTAATTGAGTTAGTTCCTATGCTATCTGTAAACTCTAGATCTCCCTTTTTATTCGTTATCCTAAGATACTCAGTCTTATCGTAGTTAATCAGCAAGTCCCAGATATCACACTATCCAGCTACTTCATTTAACCTGCAGTTAACGGTTACCTGACCTTCTACATTTAAAACCTCCGAAAAAATAGCACCATAATCCGTGATCAATCGCAGCGAAACATTTGGGCCAACGTGGTAAGATGCATGGGTCATTAATATAAAGAATGAAAAGCAGTGGCCCAAGAACGGATCCTTGAGGCACAGCTGATTTAACTTCCAGAAAAAGGAAGTAAGCTTTGTTTACATCAACAAACTGCCTGCGGCTTTTCAGGTAGGCCCTACCCCCCCTGATCATCATGGAGTGAATTCCAACTTCTTTTAACATAAGAAGAAGTTTGTTATGTGGTAGTTAATCGAAGACCTTAGAGTAATCGAAGAATATAGCATCGATTTGGCCAGATTTGTCGGTTGCCCTTGCAAAATCACGTATTATAGTTGTCAATTGGTTTTATGTGGCAAAACCCCGCTTAAAGCCGTGCTGTGCATCGGAAAGTTTATTGTTCATATCCAGATACTCAGTTATATAGTTTGAAATCACGTGTTCCATAAGGTTACATGACAAACAAGTTAAAGATATTGGACGATAGTTGCAGAGTAATGATGAATGGGCCTTTTTACAAAAACCGGAACAACACGCGCCGAGCGCCATTCATGGGGGACAGCCTTACTTGAAAATGACGTGTTGAAGATAAGAGTTAAGACGTTTCCAACCATTTCGACATATCGCTTAAGACAATTATTGGGAATTCCATCAGGACCACACCACTTTTCGGCGTTAATGTTAAGTAACACAGCAAACACCCCTTCATATGTAATTTCGAAATCTAACTCATCTTCCCTTTCATCTTCAAAAACAGATGGGTCAGTTTCCCTTACATCGGAAATACGCTCTGAATAGACACGTCTGACAGGTCAGTCATTTTTCTACTGCTGGTGACTACAGAATCATTGTGACGAATCTGCTTGATTTCACTTTTTTTTCTTTGAAACTACCAAAATTTCTTAGGGCATTTTTTAATAACTCCTGAAGGAATGTTACAAAAATAATTGCTCCTAGCCGCTTTTAGCTTATGTTTTACCAAAGCACTAAGCTGAGAGATTACACTTGTATTACGTGCCGTCGACGTCCTTTAAAATTTAATTTTTCTTTTAAATTAATTATTTCTCGCGTCGTCCAACGGTTCTGGCATCGACACGTTTCCGTTTTTCAGAGACAAAATTCTGCAAACAATATTCACAATGACCTTTCAACTTATTCCACAACCCCTTCACATCAATATTGTTGAATGACTCTAAAGCTGTATCTAGATAATCAAAAATGCAAACGTCGTGCGCCTCATTGTATTTCTTGACGTACAAGTGCCTAGCCCGTTGGGAAAATGACTTTTTTTTTTTTAGACAACAAGAAACATATACCAATTTATGGTTTTTGAGATACCTTCTTTAAGATAAAGAGAAGGAGCATAAAGGTCAGTATTAACAAAAAACAAATACTATTTCTTGTAGGTTGCTCTAGTATTTGGGTAAGATTGAAAGCAAGCATCATATCTAGCACAATCCCTAAGCTTTGCACGTTTGTACGACCGTTACTCTGATTCACCCAATCAGTTTCTGGAACGTTGAAATCACCTGCAATAATTATTTTATTACAGTTATGTGTGCTTATATAGTCGTATAATCTGTTTAAGAACTCCGGCTAAGCTTTCGGTGGTCGATATACTCCGATAATCAGCAAGGCGTTTCCCCATACATTTATATTGCAACATACGCTTTCATGATCCTCTGTTTGCTCTAGTGGAACACGTAAAATATTTCTTTTAATCAACAAGGCGACACCACCTACTCGGTATGGTCGGTCCCTTCTGAATACTGTATGCGAAGGGGGAAACACATCGTCATCTGATATATCATTCTTTCACCATGTCTCTGTAATAAGAGCTAAATTCGGGTCATACGTTCACAATGACGACTCTAGTTGTTCTCTTTTGCTTGCCACTCTTTGCGCGTTGACACAAATAATTCTAAGTTCGTTTTCGGGACGTTGACGTTATTCATTTTTGTCGCTTTGTCGTTCAGTCATTTCGTGTGGTGGTCTTCAAGTTTGAAACACAGCCCGTGAGTCTGTGCCTTCATCCCAAACGCAGACAGTATTATTAATATAAAGCTTATCATTCCCAGCCTAGCCCTTTTATCCATAGTAGCCCTGGGAAGTAGCGACTTCGTTGTACTGTCCGTTTTTTTTTTTTTTCTTCTACGTTACAGGATTAGTATGGATGTTATTCACCAGCTCGCCTGCGTTTTTTACGTTTCTTCACTAGCCCTTTCATTTGGTTCTTCATTGCAAGTTCTAACTTAAGTGCACAATTTCTTGTGCCTAGATAATGTGCTTGCCGAAAAATCATTTGATACCGACAACCTTTATGTTTTAGCTTGAAGCAGCCATTGAAGATGCCAATTTTTTTTTTGTTTTGTTTTTTTCATTATAATTGATCACCCGTAAGGTATAAGGTCTAACTTTGCCCTCCTGGGGCCTTCCTAGTCGATGTCTTCGCTCCAGGGATGTGATGGTTACACCAAGTTTTTCTGGGAGAATTTCATTTATGACTGCCTTTTCAAGTTCCCTTTTTGTTTTATTGGTTTTCTCTGGTAAGCCGAAAACTATTAGGTTATTTCGGCGGGAGTAATTTTCAAATTTGTTAAACATAATTGTTGCTCTTCTCATGCAACGTTTTTTCCAGGGTTTTAACAGTTGTATCTCGCACTGTGAGCTTGCTACTATTTTCTTTTGTTAATTTTAGAACTTCATTTAATTGCGACAGTTTACTGCTTATCTCATTGAGATGACTGTCCCGCTGCTCGGCTTTGTCTTTTATTTGCTTTAATTGGTCCAGAACTGACTGGAGCATTTCTTTGAACTCGGAGCCCGGGTTAGACTTCATGTCATCTGCAAGTAATAGATATAGGACCATCCAACACTCATTGTTTCGAAGCACTTATAATTCTAATATACCTTTTGTAGTATTTTTTTACTTTAAACACTATGTTTGTTTTTCTTTTAACATTCCTAAAACCTGACTACTGTCAGTTAAGCTGGCATAACCTCAAATAAATGCCGCTGCTACCGCATTAGCAACATGTTCAACTTACATTTGCTTTTGCAGCAGTAGTTATGTATCCAGTAAATTGATTTTAAGGTCCCAGTCATTGCGTAATTGCTTTCGCTCTGTCAGCTCCTATACCGGTCTCATGTAATAGGTAGTGGCAAATTATACCAGGGTTCAGCAGCGTTCTCCTGAAGATAAAGCTGGTGAGTCCTTCCTTGCGGGCGAAGGTGAGTATCTGGTAGCTCTCCTTGCCCTCCACTTTGAGGTCCGGACAAACCCCTCGGTAGCGGCCCAAGACGTTTGTGCACTGAAACGTGCAAGATAAGTTGTTCAATTGGAACAAATTCAGAACAAACGCACGGCTGAAGCTTTCTGAGGCAGTTGCTGGCTTGTAAGGCTAAATAATAAGAAAGGAAGACGAGCTTCCATCCACATATAGCACCAAGTAATCTTCCTCGTTTTTATTTTTTGTATTTTTTTTAGCATGTTTGATTTTATTGTTGAGAATTTACGAGACTTTATCCCTCTAAGGCAATCGCAACAAATTTGAGATATCTAAAAGAAGCTTCAGTTATTTTCTCTCTAATTGTCTGAGATATCCTTGGAAGATCTGTTTATAATCTTGTTTTATCGGACTCCTCTACAATAGAGTCTGCATAATAAGACAACAAGGGACGCAAAGATAAAGGACGTCGTAATTTGTTCTTAGTTGGGAATGATGTAATTAACAGCTTTTGGTTCCCCTACACCAAGAAAGAACTGCACTGGGTTTGAAAAATTCGCCAGATAGATTACGTTACACTTGACGGAAATCCAAGAGCCCTCAATGCCAAATACTAAAGACAGACACACATACAGAACAGGCGAGGTATATGTTATTTTATTAGATTAATTTTTGAGTATACTGTTCGATTTTCATTACATTTAGCCAAGAAATTGCTTTTTCTTTCGTTTGTGCGCATGTCTCTTATCTTATGAAGACAATCTGAAAAGCAACAAAAAAAATACGGCGTGCATTGAAGCGTACTCGGTATCGTAAGTCCATAATGCGAGCGGTAGCATAATGCCACATTAAAGTCAGTAACAGAGAAAGCTGACACGCGCGTTAGATCAAACGGAATTTGTGGTGCGATGTTTCCAGTTTGGAAACGTGATCGATTCATTCATCGGGATAGAACCTCTCCGTCTTACCGGAAACGTGTCGGAGATGTTGTAGTCAACGGCGTTGGCGTAGTGGCCGTCGATTAAGCAAACGACGGCATCGGCACCCACCATCTGCGACGAGGTGGAAGAGCCGCTGATGCCCAGAGCGATGTATTCCTTTTCATCTGCAAACATGGTTAATAGTTTTAATATACATATATATATATATACTCTTTAATTGAACTTCCTCGGCCTTTTAGTTTGAGCACGTTGTCTGCTCTTTTTCGGGTCAATTCAATGTCAGGAAAAGCGTTATCAAGTTTAATATAGTAATCTGACATTCTATTCTCAAGACAAAAGGACCATGGCCCCATTCGGAGCTCCAGAAAAGCGTCGCACGTGTTATTTAATTTCTCTTTTAAACTACACATGAACGTAACTACACAGGCGGATGCGTAAAGGAACGTGTATGTTACGTGTGAATGTGGATGTTGGGGTGGTGGAGTCTGGTTTCCGCCGAAACCATCGACCGAAACCACTGGTTTCCGTCGACACCAGTGACCGGGATGGTCTAATCAAATTGTGTGTCCCTCGTCAAAGTTGGCGATGACATCGTGGACGGCAGAGCAGATTGCCTGTGCTTCCAGGTGTTCTTCTGGGGGAGCTTGGGTGTAAGTTTGAGTGAGCGAGGTGTTGGTCTGGGGGCAGTGGAAACGCAGTGCAGCCGAGTTGGTTGATGCGATCATAGCTGGAGTCCGCGTAGCATAGATCAGATGGTGGTTGGCTTAAAAAGCGTTGATTTTTTTAGTTATGAGTTTGGCTCTGGGTGCTCGCTGCGTACGGGGGTTTTGTCGGGATTCATGTGCTTTGGTATGGGGACGATGGTGATTTGGGGGTTGGTGTTTCAGGGAGGAGTGGTATTCTCGACGAGAGGCATGTGCGAGGTGTTGTAACCTAGAGTCAAGAGGATGTAGCGACCTTTAAGGGACGTGATCAGGCGCTGTTGTTGACCCAGCCGGTGTAGGTCGACTCGTCATTCGAGCGTGTTGAAAGGGTACATACGTTGAAATTGCTCGAGGGGCGAGTACTACGAGACGCCAAGGGCAAGACGAGAGGGTTTGTGAAGTTGTGCTTGGAGGTATTTGAGTTGGGTTTTTGTGATCCGGGTGTAGGGGGTATGGTACACGAGAGTAGATAAGAGCTTCGATGGTGCGTCTCGTGTCGTCCTCTTTAAGGCCTCTGGGGCGGTGGCCGATGCGACCGAGGGTGTGTGTGGTTTGATTGATTTGTTTGGAGAGGGTGGTTACGGTAATGCCGCTGGCACCGTTGTTTTGAACCTAGAAGTTTAATGTGTTGCTCTTGGGGTACAGTCTTGCCGTCGAAGTGTATAGTGATGAGGTCTCTGTCTGGATTGTTCGGATTTAGATAGGGAACAAGCCATACTTATTCTGACGACATGGCATCTGACAGTGTCGCAGGCGCGCTGCAGTGTTTCTCCCTGTTGACTTGGGGTACCGGTGTTGATCCATAGAGCAGCGCCATCTATCTACCGGTCCACTAACTACTGAAATTAAAAGGTCTGTATACTATAGCTTTTGGGCACACTGTGTAACTCCAGATCGTCGCAGCCATAACTGGCAATCGTTTCGTGCTTTTGATTTTTTGTTGCGTATTTAAAGGAGGCAGATCGCTCCATTAAACACGCACACAAGGGAAAAGGGGAAAGGGGTGGGGGCAATTTTCGTTGCATGTTTATTTGCATACGAACATCCAATGTTTACCATATAAAATAGACGGCAGAAAGCTGCAATTAGTCTCAAAAGCTCCCCTCTAAAGTTATATGTAGGGTTCTGTGTTTTCGGAGTTTATTTTTCTGCAAAATTGGAAGGTATTTTTTGAAGTTTGTTTTTCGTCTCAAATTCGGGTATTTTCGGAGCTTTTGTTCATCGTTCGTAAAAATACCGAGTTTCTTCTTTTTTTTAATGTTTGGTGCAATTTGCCTAGGAATGAAACAGCAGTCAGCAATGCTGTTGGTACAAAAATTTTCATAGACAAAACAATACGAGCATAGCCTCCCATGATATTAATTAATCTTAGGAAGCAAACACAGTTAATTAGGATGAGTTCAAGGCACCTGAGGGATTTGCCTTGGTTAGGCGATTACCCAAGCGAGTCGGCGCTGATAGGGCAAGGCACATCCTCTTACACGGAGTGGTTCATTTCAATTCAAACGTATTTTAAAAGAAATTGTGAAAGGTAGACCAATGCGATTTGTACAGGTGAGTTATACCACCAGGGGGACATAATAGAGGAGGCTTATTCCTCATGATAAGTCGGATAATTAACTAAAACGTGTGAAGTGTCCTTTTAATTAGTGAAAATAAACATATGGTTTTAATTAAAACCTTTCTGAGCCCGTCATCGAAAACCGCTACACCAGTCAGTTTTAAAGAGATTTGAAGCAGGTGGTAAGCATATGTGAGCGCTAGATATTAGCCGCGCGACAGGTTGCAACGTTGGCGGTGCAAATATGCGGATGATCGTCTTTTCATCCACTATTTTCGGACTGCTAGCGTTGCGCCTGTTGCACAAGTGGAAACTTTAGAGCACCGCCACGCTTACAAGGTACGTTTTAAGACGGCGTCTGGGATTGTCCGTTTTATTTTAGCTTTTTTTTTTACCCCAAGCTTGGCTTTTCTATTATTATTATTATTATGCATCTAGTTCACCAGCTTGCTTACTTTTTTTTTTCTTTTCACTTTCAGGTTTTTAATTCCGTGCTCTTTTGTTGTTGTTTTTATTTGACAATTAAAAAGAAAGAAAAAAAAAGGTAGAAAAAAACACTCCCCGTCGGGGAATCGAACCCCGGTCTCCAGCGTGACAGGCGGGGATACTGACCACTATACTAACGAGGAAGACGAACGTGTTCGAAAACCCGATAACATTAAGGACATAGCAGACTTATTTTCGATGTTTTGTAGATTTTAATTGCTGTACTCGACTTATTTTTCACGGGCTCATTATGTCGCGATTTAGATCAACGCCGAAGTTTTGGAATAATTCGCGGGTTCTAATTTTCCCCACGCGGTGGGATCTCAATATAGGTTCCAATGTGTTTACATTTTACCGGAATGGTTCGCGGGACCTATTTTTCGCGAATTGTAGCGATTCGCGAAAATTAAGTCGTTTACAGTAATGTGTACTTTTTTTTAAAAACAATACATTAATATCATAAATATGACAACCGCCATTTGTAATGTGTATGAGCCAGTGCGCTTTCTAAAGCAATAGACTCTGAAGTCTTTTGAGCATTCGACTGGCACAAACTAAAGCCCCTTGATGTGTTTGTGTTCGTTTTACAAATAGCGTCAATCGCGCCAATATACGCGATCCATGCCTCGTAGGGCCCTTGGAAGCGAATGGTGGCGACGCACTGAAATGAACGGCTCTTGGAAGCAAATGGCCGCGGAGCTTTCGCTCACGACACATGTCTTGCGCGTTCGCAGAACTATGGTTGGTCGTACTTGTATCAAACGCCAAGCGCGAATTGTGTCATGGGACTTTAGTAGAAACGGACAAATGCGTAGCAGGGCGTAGTTTCTAGCAAAGTTTTGTAGGTGTATGCTAACTTTATACATTACTTGAAGAACGATGTAATAATATCATACGCACGCCAACCATAGTTGTCATGTGTAATTGCCGAGGCTCTTCCGAAAGTCATAGATTCGCTATTCTTTACAGCATTCATAAGACAAACACTAAAGGTAAAGATTAGCATGGGCGTTCCAACCGGGAGGGCAAGGGGGGCGCTTGTCCCCGCCCCCCCCCCCCCCCCCCCAGTTCTCAAAATGTGCGTGTGTGTGTGGGGGAGGGGGCAATTAAGGCATCTCTTTTGCCCCCTGAAACGGCCGCCACTGGGCAGGGCAAACACTGGCCGGCGGCGCCCTAGGGATACCAAGGGCACCGTCCCTTGGCACCGGGGGGAGGGGGGGGGGGGGCTTTGGTTTGCTCCCCCCCCCCCCCCCACACACACACTCAAAAACAAGCTGGTACGCCACTGAAGATTAGTATGCGAAGCGCAAGCTTGTCTCCATCTTGCGCTGGAGTTACGGCGGTGTCAGAAAGACGCCGAACTCTCATTGGTTCTGAATGAAGAACAGTGGGTAGACCTCAAGGCAGCTCGCTTTGAGGTCTACCTACTATCCTTCAGTTAGAGCCGATCAGAGCTAAGCGGTCTTTCTGATGCCACCGTAACTCCTGCTCAAGAAGCAGACGACTTCCTCTTCACATTAGTAGAAAGCTTCTGGCGAAGTATTGTAGGTTTATGCTAATTTCATACTTTTCTAAAATATGATGCTATAATATCATACGTATGAGAACCATCACTTGCCATGTGTAGAAGCCGATGCACTTTCTAAGTCAATGGCTGTAGTCCCAATTCTTCATAAAAATTTTACGTGTAATGAAAGAATATACATTAAATTGCATTTAATCATACAATATACGAATTTTCGCTATTGATTTTTGCTAAATATTATTAAACCAGGGTGAACTCCATACATTAAGAGCTTGCTCACTCAATCAAGATGACCCTTTCGCCAACGAACGTGCGGTCGTTAAGGTGAGGGCAATTTTCTGTATTTTATTGTCTCTTATTATGAAATCATCTCGAGCAATTATTTTGATGAAACACTACTAATCCGACAGCTATGCGGATGTTGCAATATATATATATATATATATATATATATATATATATATATATATATATATATATTAGCATGATAGCGACAACGTGATGCGCCCGAACCTTTTCTGAACAACTCACCAATCTGACCGATCAACTCGAAGGAGATGCTCCTGCCTTGAATTTCCCAGCGGATTTGAAGATTTGCATGGAGCTGTTCGCAGTTGGGGAGCCTTGACTCGTGCTCCTGCAAGATGTACCGTAAAATGACTAAGTTATTTCTTTATATTTTTTGAACCCGGAAAGCACCCAATTAACGCACATGCGTCTTTGTTGACTCGTTTGTTCGTGAATTCATGTAATTAAGTAACGCTTGGGGGTTTTACCTGCCAAACCAACGAAGGGCATCTGGTATGTATACGCACCAACGGAAAACTGAAGATGCATACATAGACCAAATGGAAACCCTTTGAAGCTCCAGAGAAAGCTCAGTTGCACGGCGCCTTCTCTGCGATGAGCCTCCGCCAAATTGTGAGCACCTCGACCGGGATTACAACCCGCCAACAAAGAAGATATTGCCATCTGGTGAACAAATGCTATGTAATACAGGGCTGTAAAAAAAAAAAAAAAAAAAAAAAACAATTCTTCGCTTCACTTAACCAGGTTACAAGAACGTATTTTCCAACCACATCTGAGGCAACCTCACGCGTAAATCATTTCAAGAGCTATATATATGTTGCGTTGTGGGAAAAAGTCGGCCAAGCGGAACACGATTCTATAGGCCGTAAAATTCTGTATGGCGCTTACTCACTTGCCGATACTATGGAATAAAGACTCAAAGTGACAGTGAATGGAAACTCCTTCCTTTTAAATTAATTGCTTGGTTTAGTTGATTATATTTATTGCCTAAATTTTACAAGGAGCGATCAAACATAATACTTCTCGTGACATATTTTCATTCTGACGTTTGCTTAAATTTCCCAAATATACAGATCCACAGAATTCAGGCACCATATCGATTTCAATCAGGAATAAAGCGTCATTTTTACCGATAAAACCCCCCGTCGAATTTCAATCCATCACTGGAATTTACGGATTTGGATCGCCAAACCTCGTGCTCAGCATTCCGGCACAGGTCGCTATCGTGTGTCTATAAATATAGCCTGTGATTCCTCTTTTTCTGATTTCACGTATGGGCAGTGTGTTGTTACGGCCCTTATATCCCAAAGTAGGGGAAAAAAAGCACATTACTGACGCTGACAATTCGGGACCGTCTTACTCAAACCTAAAAGGACAACTATCTTATTTGAGACCTACCAATGAAAGCAATAGGGGAAGGCTCGGGGTATACGTGTAAACTTTCTTGGAAGATTCATATTGAATACATAATTAACAGTGCTAACCGTGCGTTTGATGCTTAAAAAGAAATTTCTTTCTCTCTCCGTCTTCATTAAAACTAACCATGTACAAAACCTTACTCAGTCCAAATTTAGAATATGCTGCTCCCCCTCTGTGGGACCCCGCTCACTCGTCAATAGTCGCTCTTACTGAATTCATACAAAACCGCTCAGATCGTTTCATATTAGCAAACTATCATCGCACTTCAGCGTTTCGATTTCTATCATAGAAAATGCTTTATGTCTGCCGTTACTAATTCACCACCGAAAAATCTCTCATTTGTGGTTTTCATAAAATATTTCATCAAAATGTTACCCTTTGTCATAAACTAATTACTCTACCATTCTACATACAGGGTGAATCAGAAAGTATTTGTCCCTAATTTGTATTAGTCGAAATAAGGTGCATACAGGTAATTACAAATATATGTACAATTCTGCGTACCTTACACTATTTTTTCAGATAGTCCCCACACCGGTGCAGACATTTTTTTAATCGCAGCACTAAATTTCAGATGCCCCCGTAGTAGAATTCGTCCGGTTCCCCCAACGCTCATTGTCATGCAAGTCTTCACGGCCTTTTGCGAACTCACAAGTCACAAAACCACCCCATCGCACTTCTCAAAGCGAGACACCTTTTCCTATACGTGGGCTGCATTTCCCTGCGAATTTCGAAGGGCGTTCGTCCCTTGCTCCATAGAAAACGAATCACACTTCGTTGCTCGTACGCCGTGGACGTGCGAAGCACAACCGCTATCTTCAACAACTGACAGCAGCTCCGTGCCGCAGAGCTACCGGCAGATAAAGCCGGACCGTTCCAAGGAAGGTCCGCCGCTGGGAATGGATATGATGACTTCTCATTTACAGCCGTAATTTGCCTAAAAAAGAAATAGGGGCAAAGACTTTTTGATTTGCCCTCGTATCTGCTCGCATTGATTATAGCCATAAGGTTGGTATTCTAAAGTTTAAAATTTCAATATTTCAATATTCTGTTATGCCTCAAATATCTAGGACCATCGGAGGGGGATCGGTGGCCGAGTCGTCTGGTGCACACCAGAATTGGAGCACGAGAACAGGGGTGGGGATTGAACCCAGGGAGCCTGGGTTCAAACCCCACCCCTGCCTGCTTCGATTTGTATGAGCGTCGTACCGGCGTGAGGTCGTGTATCGCGTGGTGCGCTGTAAATACCCCAGGCTAGCAGCTGTACTGCACTGGCTAAATTGCTCATATACAGCTGGGAGACTAGTCGTCGTTGTCCAGGGCTGTATAAATAAACACACAGCCTTCTTTCTTTCTTTCTTTTTTTTAGGTGTTTTGCATTTTTTGGTGGCTTCTCTTCGAGCGCTTGCTGGAATCGGCCGTTTGGAAAGGAAGATATACGGGATGTGCGGAGGTAAACAAAAACAAATAATGGCGGCACTTTCAGGGAAAGTACGTTAATTCCGGTTGGCTATTGTTTTTGCTTGTTTTTGAGGACACGCAGTGAGTAGCGAGTACTTAAAAAGAATCACCGTCGAGTACTGACTGTGGTATCTCCTAAAAGTTACGTATACGGGATCGAAACGCCTCCCGGTCCTTCGGTGAAAAGAAAGAGCACTTGTTTCTGAAAGAAATGACAATCTGCCGAAGGTATCGTGGGTGCAACTTCAGGACTATTTGCGAGAACGCAGGCACGCAGCCGGAGGAGGGAGTGGGGGAGGTTCGCCCCCTTCCCCCCCCCCCCCCAATCCTCCATCAATGCTTCTATCTTGCTGGGACCTCCTCTCCCCCCTCCTGCTCATACAGCATTTTGTCGTGGGCGCCTCCCCCCCCCCCCCCCCCCCCTCCCCCCTCCCCAAATCAAAATCCTGGCTACGTGCCTGTGCCAACGACTTAACACCTAAACGCGTTCAACTACTTCGTGAACTGGAAGGCATCGGCGGCGGGCGCCCTTCCGAAAGCGAAAAGATACGCGCCGAGGTTCCCGGCAGGGGTCGCCCAGCCGGGTTGGTTTTAGCAGACAATCTTCCGAAAGTGTTTTATTGTGCTTCCTTTTGCGCGACGCGAGTCTCTGTAATGCACAATTGTCTAGTGTTTTGGCTTGCTTCCTTTAGTATTCAAGGTTTCTTTGCCAGAGCACCGCGCACATTGCATTTGTACGTGCCGTAATGGCCCATCGTTGAACAAAGATGGTCCGGTCGAGGCGCCGCATTTTCGCGTTGCGCCATCTGTCGGCAGCAAATAGATGCAGGCTAGCACTGTCTGCCAATGCCGTCGTCCTGCGATTCCCTAGGCTCGGTGGCGTCGGTGGCGTCCTTCCGTCTCGAGATAATCGAAATAACTTCCCTCGTGACATTTTGTTCGTACCGGTAGGCATCGGCAACTTCCAAACACGACGCTGAGGCATTTCTAGAGCGTAGCTCTGACGGAATTGCTCACTGGTGAACCAAGAGTCGTCGCGCTTCCACCCAAACACAAGGCAAACATAGAAAAACCGGAAGTATTTCTGTATCCTTGGTCATGGCGACCGGAAGTGGCCCCCGTTCAAAAAAAACAAACGTGTGATTGTCATTAGCATCCTTTAATCCAGACGCAACCGACGCTACGAGCTGATGGGACCAATCAGACAGCGTCAAGAGCGCACCATCATGGTGTTCGTCGTGTTTCTGTACGTGTTCTATCATCGCTTCGACCAATCATAAACAAAAAAGGTCCAGTGACTTGCGTTCCTTAAGGTGCTTGATTGGTCCCATTAGCTCGTGACGTCGGCTGCGTCCGGAATTGAGCTGAAACAAAGTATAGAACTCTGCCGACGACCCGGGCGCGCATGCGCAATAGTGGTGCCTTCGTTGCGGAGAGAATATCAGAGGGGAAGAAGGTCCTACCAAAGCTCCTTAATGATTGGCAGATGGAGGTGGGAGTCCTTACCACAGAGCCCAGCTGCGAGGGCGGGATGTCCTGGCCGTGCGGGATGATGACGGAGCCGTAGTTCTCCTCCTTGGCCGCGTTCCAGACGCTCAGCCAGTCGATGTCGAACACCGTCATCTTGCCCGGGAGCGTCAGGTCGATGGTCTTCTCTTCGTACCTCTGCAGGGGCTCCAGACTGCGCAAAGAGGAAGGACTTGGTGACGAGGCATCGGACTTGTATCGCTTGTATCACAAACAAAACTCCGAAAAGGCGGTTCCAGAGATTGCAAGAATGGGTAGTTGGGACAACGGCAGCGCCTTGTCCTGTATGTATTTCTCTCCTCTGTGCCCTTGTGTTTCGCGCTGTTTTTCATTCTGAAGCTTTCAGAGACCATGACTGCACCCTCTCGGCACCCCTAATTTGAGTGTTCTGAACGCCACGAAAAAAAGGTATAGAAAAGGTGTTGCGCCGCGATACAAGGTGAGAAACTGTAATATACGCCTACGTTTGTAAGACCATAGCGGTACTTCGTAACTTATATAAGCCCATTTCCGATCAATCAGTTGTACCTTAACACAATTAGATTTCAAGTTAACGAAGGTAACGGTACCTTAATTACTATTTGTGGGACGTTTATCTTCTCGAGATTTAGTCTTGCCCTGAGAACCAAGTCTTCACACGTTCGCCATGTCGTTGTCTTATGGGGAAAAAACACACACACAAAAGTTTGAACTCACTATCCCTTTTCGTTTGGAATCTTCTGTCCAGCGCTGTTTGGCTGTGGCCCGAGTCCGACCCAGAAGTACGTATCTGGAGATCGAGGAAAAGATTACAAAAAATACACACTATAATCTCAAAGCATTTGACGCCCTTATTGGCATAAATGCTTGTCCCGACACAAAAGAGAGCGAACGGCGGAGGTCACGTGGGCACAAACATGCGTGTCTGCCATGTGCGGACAACGAAGCCTCCGGCACGTCACAGTTTCTGGGGAGCAGAGAAAGGAAGTGGAGGGGGGGTGTTCTTAGTGTCTTAGTTTGTCGCGAAGCCTCCCCCCCTCCCCTCTAACTTGGAGGGACCACGTGACAGCCGCCACATTGGCTATCCCTGTTACGTGCTGTCATCACGAGATTCTCGTTCCGTTATGGAAACCGAAACAAAGGGATCAATAATAAATTATTTACATCGACTATACCTGTTTTCACTTTAAGAACCCTAGTAAAAAAAAAAGTCCGGCTCCTGACGAATCATTACTAATTTCCCCCTTTATGTTGATAATTACGATATATGTAGGTGAATTTTAGATTAGATATATGTAACCTTATCAAGACGTGCGCGTTCAAAACGCCAAAAGCATCGCTTTTTCCTCCGACAACCAAAGCTCGTAAGAACTACTTTGCGCCGTGTATGAACAATGCACAAAACTTGATTTTTTCTTGAGGTGAAAATGGGTATAGGTGCATTCTTTGTTGTGTTCTATGATTATTCATATAATATAACTATTCATAACAAAAAAGGAAGTCAATCAAGTTGTTTCTTATCCCTACTGCGTTTACAGTATTAATATGGAGTTTACAAAGATTTTTTTTTTCGCCTCTACTAAGATCTTCGCCACAAAGACGCGGCTGCGCCGCTAGCCATGATTGCAGTTATAGAATATCCTAGCGGGTTTTTGGAGAGCGTTGAGGGACGGCGCAAACGATCTACAAAAAACCCCTATTAAGAAGTCTTAGTCGATTGATCGTTCCGCTACCTCCGATATAACGATACCCGGTGAAGATGCGATGCCTACGCAAAGGCGTAGGCATCGCATCGGAGTTATGGGAGCGCTCTACCAGACTCCCTATTAAGAAGTTTCAGTAGAGCCTTCCGGTAACTCCGGTAACAATACCTGATTCTCCGCCGGCGACTTTGCGCATGCTTCGTATCATTATCGGAGTTATCGGAACTTCCTACTAAAACATCATATCGTTCGCAGAGTTCCAGACCTCGTATAGCGAGCTGCAAAGGGCGTTGCGGAACGACGGCATCGACTCGCGAAAACTTTTTTAATAATCGAGACGTTCTGAACATCTTTTCCTGCGCACGCTGAAAATGCCCAGACTGGACTCGAAGTGCGACATGTCGCCACGGGTCTGAGAAGACCCCGACCGACCCGTGTTCTCCCCGTTGAAGTAAAATTCCGGGATCTGGATGGTCTTGGAATCTACGATGACGACGGTGCCGGACCGAACACCCGCTCCTCGTCGAGACAGCTCCGAGATCCGCCGGGGAGACGGGGGCTCGAAACCCTCGGGGAAGTAGATGTCTCCATAGTTCGACTGAGAAAGGAAGAGAAGTGCACAAACCCACTGTTATGACTCGACTCCATTAGTACACAGGAAATAAAAAAGCAAAAAAAAATATATCGAGGTACACCTAAGCATTCCTTATGAGTTGTGAATGCGAAAGCACTCAAGCCGCTCGTCCGCTCCCTTTTTTGTCTGCTGCGTACTTTTCGTCGTCGGCCAGCACGTGTGCTCCCCTGGGCACGGTGACCTTGGAAGCTCCGTGTAAGGGCACGCTGATGGACACGCAGCGCATGGAGTGGGTGGTCGTGGAAACTGACGAGCGCAGCGGCCAATGGGAGCCCCGTCGACGCGCGCCAGCCAATGGAACCGAAGGAAACTAGGTGCCGTTTTCGCACTTCAAACTGATGACGTCAGTTCGCTCCATGAGACAGTTAATGCTTTCGCATCAAAATGTCTACACCCTTGCAAGGATGCAAATTAACTGGACTCGGGGTTCCCCAAAAGACACGATGTTCACTGCAGACACGACGACGAAATTTTCTGCGGTCACCTATCGAGTCTATTCGCAGCACGTTTGCTTCAAACTATGGTACCAGCGTCTCCGACTGGTGCGTTTACCGCCCCGCGTCCCAAAAAGTGGTCTCTCGATTTCCGCCTGATGACGTCATAGAAGTGTCATGCTGTCGCCAGTCTCGATCCTGGCGGCGTCCCAACAATTGTGGTGGATGTGGCAGACGCCTGTTCTGCTGCAGGTAGCTCTCCAGTGAAGCAGTCCACGGAAGCTTCGGCAGACAGAAGTTGGGACGCCGTGACGACGTGAACATTGCAGTCAAACAATAGCTTGATTGCAATGTTCAGCACCAATGTACTACATCTCAACGCTGCATTGTCAACATGATTAATCGAACTTATTGAAACTATCATTATTAAATTTTAGTTAATTGCCTAATAATCTACATTTGCTTTGCTCAGGGTGTTGAATTAAGTCGATGAGGGCTATTCCAAGAGAAAACTGAAATAATGTATTAAGTACGAGTAATATTTCCTCTGCCTCTCCGTGTTTGTGCGACAGATGATGGCACTCACCGGCAAAGTCGGATTCCATAATAAGACTGCCATATATAGAGATAGTGTGAACTTAGCGTACGTAGAGAAGAGTCTATGGAAATCCGGTGTCGCTGCGTTGTTGCTGTTGTGTGGAGGGTGTTCTGCTTGTGTGTGTTCAGAAACGGAACAAAGTAGAGGACCAGATTTGCTGTGATCCCATATTTTCATGAAATTTCTCACAACTTGAAGGCATGTGCGAAAACGTTTGGAGCTCGGATTTTAGACGAAGTAGAGTGACGCCAGTTCAAACAGGCGCGAAAAACTGCAAAAAGAACCATCGGGAAAAATCGGTAAATTGCAAGAATGGTGTTGTGTATGACAGTGGTTCTCCACTATCGATGTTTCACGAACCCCTTGTGGATCGGCGAAATTATTGGAGGACCCCGTTCGTGGTGAGAAGAGGGGAAAGGTGTAGGTTAAATATAATAATGATTTAATAAACGGATATAACTAAGGGCTAGTGTGAAATAGACCCCTCTTATTGACATATAAACAAGAAACCTCGCCCGAAAACTGAAACATTCCTTCTGGACCGGAAAAAAAGACAACTTTTATTGCCGGGCTTGACTGATGAGGCAGAGCTTCGCGGACCCCCATATGAGATCCACTGGTGTATGAGATAGCACTGGAACGTGCGTTTAAGTATGTAGGCCAAACATCACGATGAATCAACGACAGATTAAGCGAACACAAAAGAAACGTGAAGAACAGTGCACCGAATACAGAAGTCGCAAAACGTGTCCACGAATGTAACAACTGCACTGCAATATGATGGGAAACAGAAATCGTTCACAACGAGAGGAATGATGCAAACAGATTAGTAAGTGGAGACGGTGCGGCTGTCTAGGCAACTGTGTAGGTTAGGCACCGTTACAGTCCGGTAAAAATTCCAAAAGCATTTTTTTTTTATTACGGGATGTGTGTTTTGAACACTTTTTTCCCCGTTTTCCAGGTTCAGTGTGTGTCCCCCCTTCATTGCTGGCTTGGGATCAATAATTCTTCAATTAAAAAAAAACATCGGTTTTTTTTTAACTTTAGTTAGCATAGAGTAGGTACTGATCCTTTTGTTAAATCTTGGGGGAGACTGTAGAGGTATCTTTGCGAGTCGGCCTGAAGGCCGTCCATAGTACCACTTTGCGTATTGGAGGGTTTGGTGTTTGGACTGTTTAGAGATTGCCCCTTTGTGTTGGTGGTGGCTGATTGTGGACTATGTAAAAAGGCGGACTAAATAAACCTGGTAGCTGAGTTTGAGACATCGTCCTGTCCTTTTCTGTTCCTTCGACTTATGTGCTCATGTGTGTCTACCATGTGGCGTTTAAAGGTTGGGAGAAATTTAAAGAATATATATATATATTGACGGGTTTCTACTTTTTTCCGTTTTGAGCGCTATTTGGCGAAGCAATAATATTACGAGGGAGAAAGTTTCCTCCACTGGGAGAAAAAAGGTAGCAATTTTCCTCTCTTCTTAGGGGAGGGACCTTTTCTCCGAGAGCAAAAATGGGTGGCAACTTTCCTCCCTTTTAAAGCGAGCAAATTTCCTCTCCGTTTTGTCCCAGGAACTTTTCTCCCTTGATGGAGGAACATATGGAACACGCGGTTTCTCCTTTAAAAAAAAATACTGCTCCGTTTTCTTTTTTTTTTTTTTTCTTTTTTTTTCAAGTGTGAAGTTAAGTTTAGGAGCGTCCGTTTGTTTGCTGCGTGCTTGTGAGCTTCCGCAGGGCCTCAGGCCGCGGGAAGGCGTCGTCGTATCGTATTGTATTGTATAAATGCGGCGATTCTTTTTGAATCGGCCGTCTACTAAATAGACACGCCAAAAAAATAAAAAATAAAATAAAAGGTTAGAAAGCGGAGTGTATCCACTAGTTTCAACAATGTACTGCCCACCAGGCCTCGAGTCTCCGCTTCGAGCACTGCACATACACGTTCTCCTCAGTAAACCCTAGGGCTTGCTTGATGCAAGCGCTGACGTCTGCTGCCGGTGCGAGTGCCGGACACTCAAGAACCAAGTGGTGCATAGTTTCTTCCACTTCCCCACAAGCACTGCATAGGGTGTCGGTCACGTTGCTGTCGTACTTTCGTCGATAGAGGCGGGTACGCAAGGCGCCCCCTCGGGCCTCAGCGAGGAGCCTGCTGCCCAGCGTATTACCACACCAGAGGATTGGAGCAATGGTGGTCTTAAAAGACGCGTAAAGGTGCATGCTTGAGTGTTCTTGCATGTATGCTCTCCACCGGTTCGCCTCGACGGTCTTAATTTTCTCTCTCACCTTGGCAACCCACTCTTTCTTTGTCGGAGGCTCGTCGGACATTGAGAAAGCCCTGTATTTCGTGCCCAGTCGGATGGTACGGCGTCTTCATGTTGTGTGCCCGCCTCTTAGGTGAATGTATACGAAAATTCGCCGAGCCCAGCGATCTCCATTCCTGTGTCGCAATCGGGCGTAGTATTCCAACTTGCCGCTGGCCTCCCGTGTCTCAAAGGAGGACCAGCCAAGGTCTCCTTGGACCAGTTCGTTTGCGACTCTTCCATGGCATCCTAATGCCTGACGTCCGATTTTTCTTCTTCTTTTTTTTTTTTGGCGCTGCTCAAGGTATTTTCGGATTTCGCTGGGGGCACATGTAACGGCATTGGCGAAAGTCAAGCCTGGTACAGCGACAGCTTTCCAAAGTTTGCGGGTTATTACATACCGATCGCAGCACCAAAGGCTCTTTCGACGTAGCACATTTCGCTTCCTCATGGCTCACGCCTTGAGAATTTCATGGTTTTCCGCTAGGTAGTCTTCTGCACTGGTCAGGGTCATTCCAAGGTATCTGTATCGGCTACTAACAGGAAGCGCAGTGTTCTGGATGGTGAGGGATTCAAGGCCCTCGCCCTGCCCGGAGAAAAGCACCACAGACGACTTGTTGGTATCGAATTGCAGTCGAAGCCGAGCCGCTTCCGCTTCGCAGGCGATCAGCAGTTTCTTCATATTTGAGACGTTGTCGGTTATGAGTACTAGATCATCTGCGAAAGCGAGTCCGGGGAGCCGCCATTCAACCATGTCTCCGTGTTGCATGTGTCGCAGAGTAAAGCCAATACCTGTGTGTTCCAGCCCCTTCTCCATGCCGGATGTATAGAGCATGTACAGAACAAGGGACAACAGACAACCCTGACGTAGTCCCCTATGCACCGGAACGTCACCAGAAAAGGCTCCGACTTGAACGTTGCCATAACTTGATCTCCATCATATAGCCGCTTTATTAGCTCCACCCAAGGTTCTGGCATGTTGAGCTGCTGGAGCCGCTTGATCAGCAACGAATGGGGAACACTGTCGTAATCTTTAGCAACGTCCAAAAAGCAACAGATAAGGTTCCGTTTTTTCCAACCGAGCGATCTCAATGCATTGGGTCAGGGTGAACAAGTTGTCATCCAGTCGACGATCTCTGCGGAAACCATTTTGTAGCTCGGTGAGAACACCAACACTCTCGGCCCAATATGAGATGCGCCAATTAAGGATGGTTGCAAACACCCTGTAGGATACAGCTGTGACAGTGAGTGGGCGGTAGTCACGCAGATGTTGTTTGTTGCCGCCTTTCTTAGGAATGAATGTGACTCGGGCACGCTTCCAGTCCCTTGGGATGGGTTCATCGCCGCAAACTATGCGGCTAAACAGGTGTGCCATTTGGGCGCGGAAATCGGGTCTCAAAGTCTTCAGCACCTTAGCCGAGATTCCGCCTAAGCCCTGAGAAGTGCTGCCATTCAACCGCGCGAGTGCACGATCTACATGCACTCGCCCCACTAGTATTACAAATCCATCATTCCATGCTGACGATGGAACGTCCTCTATGGTTCGGCTTTAAGTTTTCCAGTTTTCTGAGGAAATTTCTACATCCGCAACTTCGAACAGAGTGTAGAGCTGTGTCGCAAGGAGTTGTCCGATATACTGAACTGGATACCCACTGTCGTAATCTAGCAGTTCTGGAGTATACTGTCTTTGCCAGCCAAAGATCCCAAATATCTCCCGAACTTTTCGACGGTCTTTTTTCCTGCATTTTTGATGTCCGCCATCACCTTGCAGTCATGGGCTTGTATTTTTGCTTCTACAGTGTCTTGCGTTTGTATCTTGCACTTGCTGTATTCCTCCCATAGTTGCAAGGTCACAGGATGTTTTCCAAGAGTCCTCAGTGCTTGCCTATGTCGCCGATTAGCTTCTTGTCATACTTGGATGGACCTCTTAATTTCGACATCCCACCATGGGAGAAGTTTTCGTTTCCCTCGTGCGCTCTTGACGGTGGGGTGATTAGCGATAATGGTCCTGAGCTCTATTGCGAAGTCGTCGTAGCTTAGTGCGTGCATACGTCGAGTGCTCTCGTCAAAAGTATGGATGACAGTGAATATGTCGTCTTCGCGTAGTTGAGTTACAACTTTGCGCAGTGAACGACTTGGAGTTCCTCGAACCGTGTCGAAGTGCAGGAAAATGCTTTTGTGATCGCTGCTGACACTCCACTCACCTTCTTCGTCCACAACCACCTTTTGAAGATTGCTCCCAAGTATTTTTGACGCGAGCGCATGGTCTATGCACGTCCGGCGGTCTCGCACCATCCAAGTGTGCTGTCCCTCACAATATTCTCTTAAGTTCAAGATCTCCAGTTGGACGTCCTCCGCCAACTGTCTCATCATGGTCCCGTTATAATCTTCCCGTCCATCCAATTCGACCAGGTGGCCATTAAAATCTCCCATTATCAGCACAGAGAGACCTGTGGGCAGGTTGTGTATATCTCGACGAACACACTCGAGGATATTGTTATTCTCTTCTTGACGGTTGTTTCCCACGGAAACATAAATGATGCAGACGGCTGTCAGCACGTTACCTATCTTTCCGTGTACCCATAGGTGCTCCCTGCAGTTCTCGGATGTCCGAATCCACGCTGGTCGGTGACTTGATCAAAGCAGTCCTACGCCTCCCCCTTGCTCCTTCAACTCGATTGCACCCAGTCCAGCACCAGGCTAGATCTATAGATGGTTCTTCCATGCCCCTCAAGTGGGTTTTCGCTACACCGGATATAGAAACGTACTTTGTAAGGAGAGCCGTGTACAATTCAAGCCACTTTCGTTGACGGCGCGCACCATTCATATTCAAAAAACCTACCACAACACTTCCTTGTTTTCGTGTGAAGTCGGGACGGTGCCTCCTAACAGGGAAGCTTTGGTCGGGGAGGCGAAGCGCGGAGTGCCCGAGGCAAATGACTCTGCGCGGGGGACCGCGCAGATTCGGCATTTTTGTTCAGCATTTGTCAGCATCTACGATTTTGGAACGCAAAGAAGGCAGGACAAAAACAAAACGGGGTACGCCTAGGTTTTGTGCTGTGCTCGCTCAGTTTTCTTTGTGTTCTGAACTCGCAGTGATAAGTGAGAAGGAATCGAGCCACTCCCCAGGATGTACGGAGCGTGCAAAGCCGGCCCCCCGTTCCTACATCGGAACGGCCCCACAATTCCCTGCGTCGCGCGGTGCAATGTGAGATTGACGAGGGGCCTTGCGGGAATATCCGGAAGAGTATATTGTTGAAGGGACCAGAAAACAATTTTAGACAACATTTCACTGACTGGATACGGATCATGAGATCGAAAAAAAAATAGTACGCCAGATTAGAAAGGCTAAATCCTAACTTGTGGCGTGAAATTTTGGCAAATGAAAGCCGACTATATCTCACACTTACAAGTTGGTCGCTCAAGCGTCGCAAACCAACGAGTCCTACGAAGAAATCGGCGTCCATGGAAACCTTAGTAGGTGACGACGACGCTTGACAGACGCAGCTTCCTCGCTCGGCTGGGAAAACTTTCGTTTCCGGTGGAAAGGCACACTTTACGTCACTGTCACGTGATTTCACATGTTGGTGGCCGAGTCCGGTCAAGGCGAGGAGGAAAGCAGACGTCAGTTTTCACATTTCTTTTTTTCTTTCGTTTTTTGTGCAAAAATGTAGTCTATAAAACGAAAACGGATTCCTGCTCCGGGTTCTATGAACATTCAAGATTATTTGGTGTCTTCATTTGAAAAAAAATGGAAAATAATTTCATGGACCGACTGCGTTACGACCGGTTACGACTGCTTAAGACGAGGTAATACACTGGCGCCATCTATAGAGCAGCCCTGGCCTACTTACTGTCTGGGTATATTTCCTCCATTCTTACGAATCATTTTTTTTTTCTTTTTCACCCTGAGCTTGAAATAGTGCTGACAGTGCTAGAAGCTATCATTTTTATGCATGGTTCGTTGATTTTATCTAGCCAAATACCGCTAAAACCTTCAACTTAATTCACTACCGGAAACGTTCAAGCGCTCTTTGGGAGCTGCCGCCACCTAGTTCCAACTCTGCGCAACGCGTGGGGATGGAACGCGAATAGTCGTGACGCAGTCGATCAACGTACCCTTCCCCCCGAAGTATTTTCTCCCCCCTTTCTCGAAGACCGAGTACTCGTTCGTAAAGAACCACTGTATATCAGACAACCGTAAAGGACGCGAGACAGCCATTGCAAACTCAATCGAGTGCGGGGGCCTGATACTTCACCCCCGAAAGAACGAGGGCCATCGGGAAGGGGGAGGGGGCATTTATACATTTTTTTTTTTTTTTCAGGTAAACAAGAAACGAACAAACAGTAGTTTATTTGAGAACCATAGTTTGCGTTTGAGGTAGATATTTTGTAGTTCTAATGCAACGTCAGGCTATTAAAAAAACTAATAATAATAATAATAATATATATATATATATATTTTTTTTTTTAATCTGAGGTAAAGAAGGAATGAAGAAACATAAGTAATGTGCCACATTGCAAAACAGCCGAATGTCCCAGTGACACCCCGGAGATTTTCTACAGAAGAAACCTTGTGCTTTCTGCTTTTTGTAAGCTCCTTTTTGCAATTTGTAGCTTTAACTCGCACATATGAGAACTTTGGGCCCCCGCCTGCTGTTATAAAAAGACTTAAAATACGAACCTACTTGCCGTTTTCAATAAAAACGAGAACAAGCACACCGTCTTCGACCTCTCGCACAATTCACTATGCTCAACAAGCATAGATAAAAGGACTTTCAATGACAGTTTTTGCTTTCCTGGCGATTTTTATAGCAGCAATATAAGAAAATACTTGCAGTTTAAAGGTATTTCCGACCGCCACAAGCCCGAGGTCATAGCTTAATCTTCGACAGTTGCTCCTGCCGAACAAGAGTTTGTGCAGCCCAGATGCCTCCTTGAGCAAAGAGCTCGCACTTGTAGCCTAGTAGTTGTAGCGCCATTCCGGTTGATTTACATCAGAAAGGGCTTAGGAGCAAATATTTAAACAAAATAAAATTCCGTCAAAAAAAAAAAAGAAGCATAGTAGCACAAAACTTACGAACACGTAATAATGAGCAGAGATTCTTTTCGAGCGGAAATGAATTGACGATATAAAACTCTTATTTATGGCGCATGTGGAGCTCGAGGCATGGCAACGGGGGCTCGCACCCGTGTGATCCTAGAGGGCAGCATCCCGGGGAGTCACGGGCCGCGTGTTTGAGACCCCTGCTCTATACCCTCGAATCAGAATTCGGCGGCGTGACGTCGCTGTACTCTCAGTGCAATGGGCAGACGAACTTACTCGCCGTATACGGCAAGATAAAACCACGGGCAAGGCATCACTCACGTGCTCCCTGAGGTTCCAGATGGCCAGCCACCGGACGCTCGTGATCTTCCTCCGGTCTGGCAGGTGCAGGTAGATGTCCTTGTCTGTGTACGGCTGCAGCTTGTTGGTCCTGTACGGCGAGCAACCCGGGAGCAACAAATGAATGAAATCATGGCCGTTTAATTGCACGGAATATAAAAAATCTTGGAGGACGCTTTAGCTTAACCTTTAAGAGTGGAACGCGATAGCGATATCGGGCCCCGTTCGCATCGCCTTCCCATTCGCTTCTGATACTCTCCCTGCCAGTGAGCACGAAGTGCGGTAGACATGGCCTAGTCAGTAGCGTGTCTGGCTCGCAACCGAAACAGTCGTGGGTTGGAATCCCGCCTATAATTCTTTAAGACAAATAAACTATCTTATAAGGTGAAATCATTTGAGACATGCGGCGACCTTTAATTCGCATTACATGTCATGTTTTTAATCACTTTCAAACCACGCGAGACGTCACGTTTTACGTGAGCGTTGTGAGTTGTTTGAAATTCCCGCGCGAGGGCATATGGCTGTGACGTCATGATCCTATCGACCAATCAGGAGTTTCCCGTCACAACACCACCGTTGTCGGCTTTTCTACGACACCAGCTCCTTGGCGCTGTATCGTTACAGGTGGAGTGAGCTCGGTACAGAAAGGTATAAGTGATATAAAAGTTGGCACAGCTGAGGGTAGTGTGGAGAGAAAAATACAAATACAAAAAGAAAATTGAAAAAAAAAAATTGTTGCTATTATTTACATAGCCAGAGTCAACTTACTGGAAGAAATACTCGCAAAACAGACTTCTACAGTACAAGTTACCGGATTGATTACTAAATTAATTTAAAAGTATCGTGTTTGCGTTTGTTTTTCGACTTGAAGTAATCAGGCTGGTAATTTTTTTACCCTCTGTATTAATTAATATGATGGCAATCGTCCCTGGTGTGTCTTGCAGAAGATAAAATTAGAACAGAAAAAGAACTTTGAGATACAAATGGAGCATTTATTTTGAAAAGAAGGAAACACGCCGCAAGTTTTACAAAACTCAGCGAACTAATAAAAGATGTAACGGTGTTCTGGCCTCCGATTACTTTCGGCTTCAAAGAATCGCTCACTTAATATCATTTAAAGGACAACTCCGCTAAGTTCCAAAAATTTTGAGATGATGAGTAATTACGCATTAAAAAGCACTAATAAATGGCATCACGTTATTTTTTTTCGCAAAAATTGATATATATATATATATATTGTTTTAAACATAAACAGAAATAAAAAAAAAAACTTCGGCTACGTCTGGCAACATTGGCCTCGGGCCGTTAAAGACGTGGTACGAGAGGTCACGTGATCCACTACGCAACGATGGGCGGGATTGGGGCGTGCCGGCGTGTTACCGTTGGGGCGGACGTGTGCCTGGCGCAAGACTCGTCTGCACCACACTCTTCACCATGTTTTAGTTTCTACGACATTCGACGACGCATGCACATATGCGGCATCAGTCTGCGTACGTTGTGTGAACGAAATTCTGAGTGTGACGGTGAGACGACGACAGCAGTTGTGACGCGGGAGACGGCTGTATTTACGGCGGGACGGCTGGACGACTCCCAATAAGCGCGCTGCGCATGCGCGTTAAGCCAAACAGGTGGACACCGCTGAGCGCGCGAAGAAAAGTTGCTGACGTCACTAGTTTAGCTTGCCCGGAGTAGTAAAAATATACAAAAAGGGGAAATGTGTGATAAAGTTTCGCTCAATGTTGCCTACGCCAATGCCGTAACCTTGGCTGCGCCGTTGATTTCGGCAAATTGATGCGTTGCGAAGTTTGCCGAACCGCTGAAGAAACATTTACACAGAACTAGGTCGTAACATTTGACGTGTGGTCTTTCCAGGTGATACTGAAGAAGGTTGCATTGTTCTTTTTTTTTTTTTTCAGAAACAAAAATAAAGCGGAGTTGCCCTTTAAACTAGTGCACTTGTAAATGTAGTTTACCTTTCCCTTGTTTTTAAACGTGTACGACACTGGCACGTTGCGAGAATATTTGTTTTTAATTATAATGACCAGTCTATGCTGGACCAAGACTAGATTTCGTAGACGTCATTTGAAACAAAAATTGATCAGAGAAAGCTTCGTGTAACGTTTCTAAAACATCAAAAAGTAAAAAAAAAAAAAAAAAATCAATAACGCGTCGGCGTGTTTTATACGACGCAAACACGCCTCTGTGTTTCAGGCACCCGATGTGCTTAAATGCTGTATTTGTGTATACAAAACGTAGCAAAATGTCATTAGGTCATTCCTTTTCTCAAAAGTCATTAATCTTAACGAATAACGTATACCGCTAAAACTCATAATCCGTGTGCCTATTTTGTGTGTGTGTGTGTGTGTTTTTCGCGCCTCATACCTCACTGCATTGTAAATATATATATATATATATATATATATATATATATATATATATATATATATATATATATATTTCATCGACATGTTGGTTTCTGACAAGTGGTCAACATGTCAACTGTATTCAAGTGCAACTGCTGTTGAGAAAAGACGGGTTCTTCATCTGTTCAGCTGGAATCCCGTCAAATCAGTACTCCCGGTATAACTATCGGCTGTCCCCAAGCTGTCTCTAGAGGCTACTTACTTGTGGCGCATCTCCTGATAGGCTCAGCGAGCACCCAACAGGGTGCGTCGTCTTCTGCTCGACTGCGCCCATCGGAAGATGGCGCCACAAGTAAATAGCGTTGCTAACTCGGTCGTCCGCGAACGGGCCCAACCTTCTTTTAAACAATTAACTTTTATTTTTATTTTTTTTTTTTTTTTTGCAGGAGCAGTTGTACGGTTTGAAGTTTCACGCGCTAAAATGACTTGCTCAGTGTCCATTCAATTAAAGTTTTAGCTTTCTATGTGCAGGCGCCAATTTTTCCGGCTTGTCTTACAGCGGAAGGTTCGCTTGAAACTTGGTTCCTAGGTACCCGGGGGTTCTGTACCCTTATAGCTTCCCCGAATTCCCAGATTTCCTTGACCGATCCTGCTCCGAAATATATTTAGGCCTATTTTAGCGGGGATGAGCCACTCAGTATGTACGCAGTACTACGAGCTGAACACTCCCTAGGATGTGATTCATCGTTCACAAGGTGCGTAGGCTTCTTCACTGCTTTACTGCAACAATGTCGACACAGGGATGTGTTCCTCAGCTGCCGTTCAAGGCAGATAAGGGTTCCTCAAGGTCGAAAAGTTTGAGGACCCCTTTCTTAAGGTTAATTAATCGAGGTCACATCAAGAATTCGACCTGCAAAAACCAAATTGACATTTAATTTAAGTCACGTACTTAAAAGACGCACGGGACTTCCTTTTCGACAGTTCTTGGTGCTTTTCTGTATGTGTTGTTGCTGGTGCGGTGATGTTGATGATGACATCTCATCTCATAGTGACAGCCGTTGCTGACGAAGTTTCTCAGCGGATCCCGGGGTGTGTTTCGTGCAGGTCGGAGCTGATAAATTTTTCCGATAAATTTAGCGGAAAAAAATGTCCCCCTGAGCGTCAACGTCACACCATGACGTAACTTCAAGATTAGGCGTCACGCGACACTTTAACGTCAAAATACACCATGGCGTTAAATGACACTGACATCGTGTGATATTTTATTATGTCACGTAACATTGTGGCGTCCCTCTCGTCATTGTTAATGTGCAATGCACCGCGTCTAGTCTTTGTGCAGCGCCTTGGCTCGCCGCAGTCCCTTCGCAGAACACGGAAAGGAACCGGGAATAGTTTTGTTGTTCCTTTTGCCATTGTCGTTTTAATTGTGTAATTAACGTTGCTGTCGTGACTGTAATTGTTTGCGGTGATCGCTCAGATGAGCCGCCAAAAGTCTCCCTACGTGTCCTTCCCACGAACGGTCGAGATGGGCCCGAGCTGACGCGCACTTACTTTCCCTCCTCGTCCGGCACGATGAAGCCCACGTTGCTCGGACGCACACTCGAACCCGCCCAGAAGAACGTGTCTGAAAGGTCGAAAAAACAGAATGAGTCACGAGACTCCAAGACTTGCGTGACTCCGCGCGCTAGTTCGCGCCCCGATTGATTGAGCACGGGTGGAACGGGGCAAGGCGTGATCCGGGCCGCCCGCATTCCGCAAACGCAAAACGCGCAAACAAAGCAAGCGCCCACACGCCGACAACGCGCATGCAGACGGAACTCTTTCTTTGCTCGACAGAGGAATACGATATCGCTCTTCTCGTGCCACCAGAACCGAGTACTTTGCAGGAGGTTCGTGAGACGCCCGCTTTCTTCTGGGTTAGTTGCCTGTCCATCTTGAGAAAGAAGAGACATTCATTAGCACTGGTGTAGCCTCCTATATACTGACAAAGCCTGGCAGATCGCCACGATAAGCGGCCGCCGAAATGGAAAAGGTTGAGAGGCAGACAACGGATGAGAGGAGAGCTACGTGACTGGCGCCCCGCTGCGGCGAGACGCCGAAACACACTTCTCCCGAGCGAACAAGGGTGTTTCGGGTTCTCGCCGCTGCAAGAGCTGTGCGCTGATGTCCAAGTTCCCTGAGAAATGGCACTTTGATGCTCTGTGTTACCACATCCTCGCACTCCAAATCGGCGACCGGTCACTATATGGCTCCGTCGTCGAACTGGCAGGCTTTGTGAGCATAGAGGAGGCTATGGCACTAGATGCAATAACAATTAAACCGTCGTTTTCTACGATCCCAGTACCTTCGGTGACTGAGCCACTCCCCTATTCTTTATACTAATATGCCTTTTGCTAAATTACCCAAGTACCAAGGAGCATACTGCGAGTGTAGTTACACGCGCTGCACGTGCTAGCGTCTGCAGCAGTTGCTGTTATAGAGCAAACGCTTAAAACAAATGGCATCTTTCACACCCGTTCGTCAACGCTTTATCTTAGTTATTTACTTCGAATCTATTATAGGGGGAAGGCGAGCGCGTGTGGCGCGTGTACCTAGGTTTCCAGCATTCTCTTTGATGCTCGGGTAATTTAGCAACAAGTCTATTGCCTTTTGCATCGATGATTTTGACGTACCACCAAACTCCGTCACACAAACAGCTGTGTACAGCCAACACCACCGAGACTACCCAGAGACGGTTCACTCGAGCTTTGACGTCATCACAGTGAGATGGAGCGAAGACGCGGATTGAACACGAGTGTGCGTCAGCATTCGGCTGGGCCTCGTGACCAATCAGCGCATCGAAGGACGTTCGGCTTCGGGCTCGGGTCCGATATCTGAGCTGACGTCATTCGACTCAGATAACCTTCTATGGAAGAAGAGATGCATGCTCACAGGCCTTGATCATTCAGTTGACAACTTCCTTCCAATGGATCCGCTAATTGTTTCTGAACATGACGGGATTGTTAAACTAATCGATGATCTAAAAATGTTCTCGTCGTATGATGTTGATAACATAAGCTCTAAATTTCTTAAAAGTACAAAATGTTACATTTCGGTTTTTCTTCTAAAACATTTTGAACAATCACTTGACCTGGGCATTTTACTAAATGATTGGAAAATAGGAAAGGTGGTTCCGCTTTGTAAATAAGGTAACAAACATAGCCCTCTTAATTATCGACTCATTTCCTTAACCAGCACGCCCTGTAAAATTTTAGAGCACATACTTTATTCTAATCTAGTTAGTTTTTTTGATTCCAATATTATTTGTTTGGCCTCACAACATGGTTTTCGGAAATCGTTATCCTGCGAAACTCAACTTCCTAACTTTTATTAATGATCTTTTCTCCAACCTTAACCGTGGATATCAGGTTGACTGCGTCTTTCTCGGCTTTTACAAGGCCTTTGACAAAGTATATAACTAACTGTTGTTTTTTTAAGCTTGATAAACTTAATATTGATCCAAAAGTTTTGTCTCGGATTAAATTTTTTCTAACTAATCTATCATAGTTTTTACTACAAATAAAGAAAATGCTTGCCTCGATCCTGTTACCTCCGGTGTTCCCCAAGGGTCCAATTTGGGATCCCACCTGTTTCTTATGTGTACTAACGACTTACCTATGTGTGTATCATCCTATATTAGCTTAGTCGCAGATGACTGTGTAATAACGAAAATAATCATTGGAGAAGGGGAACGAGAGGGACAAAGGACAAACACAAATCTCTAAACTTTGGAGATTTGTGTTTGTCCTTTCTCCCTCTTGTTCCCCTTCTCCAGGGATTATTTTCCTCATTGTTGTCCAGCTCGCTTGCGCCTTTGCACTTTATTGTATTATAATGACTGTGTAATACATCGTGAAATTACTAACGAATTCGATGCGGCACTTCAGGCTGACTTGTGCGCGGTTTCGGAATGGTGTAACTTATGGCAAATGATTCTCAATGCTAACAAATGTAAAACTATGAGGATGTCTCGTCGTAACACGTGACCATCACCATACTAAATTTTTAAAACTCAGCTCCCATTTGTAACTTAATTCAAGTATCTTGGTGCATCACTTCTAATTTATCGAAAACTCACTCTGATAATATAATCAGTAATGCTGATTCGATGCTTGGATATTTAAAAAGAAACTTTTCTTTAACCCCTATGTCACTGAAACTTCTTATGTACCAGACTTTGATACGTTCAAAGCTGCAATATGCCGCAGCAATCTGGGATCCCGGTCACTCAACGCTAGTAACAAACATTGAAGCACTGCAAACTCGCGCCGGACGCTTCATAGCCTGTAACCAGGGGGGGGGGGGGGGGTTCTTCAGTAATTAAACTTAGGGGGTGCCTAAATTTTTAGGGGGGGGGGGGAGGGTTAGGAGGATTGAGAGTAGAGGAGTCGTTGGAGATTACACCCCCGTAGCGGGGGTGTAGGGAAATTACGGTCTGTAACTATCATCGCACCGCAAGTATTTCATCTAGGAAACCTACACTGCCTCTATCCTCACACCGTAAAATATCTCCTTTATGCCTTTTTCATAAAATGTATAAATTCAACGCTTCTCTGAAGGCAAACTATGCATTAGCCCCCCTTTCATTTCTCCCCGCATCGATCAGTCTTAAAGTTGGCATATTTCATTGTGAAACGTCAGCTTACATCGACTCTTTCATACCCAGAACGTCATATGAATGAAACCACCTTCCCGCATCATTAGTAACTAGTCCATCAATTGTTTTAATTAAAGAACACTAACTACACACTTTTGCTAAGATCATGCCGAACAAACGTTTATAACAAAGTTGCCTTGTTCGTTTGAACTTTTTTACTGAGTCAATACTGTATGTCCACCCCCTCTGTAATGCCCCGGGGCCCTGGTGGTATTGAAATAAATAAATAATACAAATAAATAATATCCGGACACAAACGTACCCTAAATTTATAATAACCATACCTTATCGAATGATACGTCTGCAGCTGCATTTGGCATAGGCGCTTTTGCTGTCCCATGGCCAATCTTGAAAAACAGGGTTGCTTCAAATAACGTCAATACTTAGAAATAACTAAACACCTGGACATTTATACCCGTGCCACACGGGCAAATCGAATGTCTTTTACAACGAATGACATTTGTGTGATCGGCGAATCAGCTCGCAATCTGTCGAGCGTGGAATGCGCTACGTCCGGAGTGTCGTGCGCTGATTGGCCGTTCGCTCAAATGTCATTCGTTGTAAATGGCATTCGAGTTGCCCGTGTGGCACGGGTATTAGTCGGTGACAAGCAAAGAAGCTTCTGCTGCCCTGCCCCTCTCCTAGGGAACCTACAGGGTCATAGCGTTCACTGTTATAAAAATGCAATTCTCTTCCTCCTTTTAGGAGCAAATATAGTATGGTCCGAACTGGAAACCGAAGAGTGGCTCTTTTTCGCATGATGCGCTGTTCCGAATGAACCTTGACGAGATAATGGGTTTTGGTTGAGCTTGTTGGTTTGAGAGAAAACGGGACAGACACGAGCGGTATTCTGTCCCTTTTGCTCTGTGTGTTCTATTTTCCTAAGTTCGGCTGGCCCCAATACAGTATTGACAAGGTAAACGAGAAACTCCCATTGGCCAATAGCCCGAAATTTCAAAGGACTCCCACTCCCCAGGAGCACCGACCTTGTGCGCTCTCAAAATTTACTCGTAAAATACCGCCTTTTTTTTTTTTTTTCACGTCTTTTTATTTTGCTATTGTGAACTCGATATTTTGAATTTATTTCAGAAAATCAGAAATTAGGAATATCTTACCAGCGAGTAGATTTTTTTTTAAGCTTTTTCCTTTTTTTTTTTTATTATCCGAAACGCGGTACTTTATATATACGGTATAAGGAGAGAAACTGAAGAAGAGAAGTAAGATCAGAGGGCACAGGGATAACGGTGCGTCGAGCTCGAACAGTGAGTATATAGACAACAGCAGGTTGCCTTTGCGCCTACCCCCTAATCCTTCCAATCGAAGCTCCGCGCTCTGAGGTAGCGCAAACCTTGCATATACGAGCGACGGCCTACCTTGGCCCAGGCCATCGTAGAAGAAGTTCTTGATGAGGATGGTGTACTCGTCGATGGCGTAGACCTGCCCTGACACCTGGTGCGCGTACGTGTTTATCTTGCCGATGTACAGGCCCTCGTGCATCTCGCTCCGCGCCCGCCCTGCGACTGAAAGAAACAAAACGACATACACGTAATGAATTTCGCGCCGTGTATACGCGTCCATCTTTTAATAATAATATTACGTTTTATTACCGTTGATGTTACATCGATGGGGGGGGGGGGGGGGGGGGGGGGGACCAAAGCTGTCTCGAAACATGTTAACGAGACCTTGGTGCACTTTACAAGCACGCAGCTAGTAGGTGCAAACAAACAAACAATGAATACTATAGAACAAGGACAGTAATATTCCTCTTCATAGTTCCATAAAATGCACAGCAAGTTCGGAGACTGGGATGCCTTTTATAAAAATTTTATTTTTCATCTAGACAGCTCAATAATTTTGGAAGTCTATACTTTAACATTTAACTAGCAAACAAGAAAGTATAGAACAAAATAGCATCACTTCTCATAGTATTATAAAATAGTATACTCCATTCAGCACTTGTAAGCTGCGAGTGCGGTGGAAGGTATACGTGCTTGTTGGACAATGTGATACGTCTATCTTTTGTCACGTCATCACGCTACCGACCATAGCCATGCGCAGGGAGCGTGGTCATGTGATGAAAGAGAGGCGATTGATTGGTCCGGATGGTGATGAACTTGCGCCATGCTCGGAGCGTTGGACGAAGGGTTTCATGCGACGGACATGAACGTCTTGGAGCGCCACGCAGCGCCGATCGGTTGACGGCTTTAGCGGCGCAATGGAGCAATTGACAAGGGGGCGTTTGGTGACGTACAGTGTATCGTCCAAGATACTTGTGAAGGAGTTTGTCAGAAATTCCAACCAATATTGATGTCCCGATTAGATTGTTCGCTGACGACTGTATTATATATAAAACAATAAAAAGCCATACCGACAATCTCACACTGCAGCAGGCTTTGGATGAGATACTGTGTTGGACTAAAAAATGGCAAATGAAGTTAATTTTTTTGAAAACAGCCGTCATGACAGTGTCCTGTAAAAAAAAGCCAATTCAATTTGTTTACTTACTGGATGGACAATCAGTAAAGCGGGTCGAGGAGTACAAGTATTTAGGACTTCTTTTTAACAATAAACTGAACTGGAACCAGCATTTAGAATTAACGGTTAACAAAGCGAGGGGCACTTTGTCTGCGTGTCGTAGGAAATTAAAATTTGCTGATTTTGACACTAAACTTATTGCTTATAAAAGTTTTATTAGGCCTGTGCTTGAATACTCTAGTTCAATATGGTGCCCTTCCAGGAAGTCGGTTGCGTTTTTGAGCCTCGCTCTTCTGGATCAACATTTTAATATTATAGGACGGTCTGAAACATTCGAACTTCATTCGTACGTTGCCTACTCCTGTCCACGGTGAGGTCTGCCGCACTGGGGCTTGCCCTGGTGCCCGTGAATCGACCATGGCCATGTCTACTGGGCCACCGCCACCTTCGCCACATTCCAGTCATCGCGCCTCCACTGATCAGTACAGTCTGCCTTCGTCCGTCTGTGGCAGCTCAATCGCTGAATCAGAACAGGACACACCCATGAATAGCGCAGAGGACATCACTCCAGGTCAGCAATGCGCTACAACCTCTTCGCGGCGAGTCATCGTGCCATCCAGTGACATAGAACTCTCCGATTTTGGCGACTTGGATTGGACTAATGTCGCCAGGAAAAAGCGAAAAAAGAACAGCCCTAATTCCAGCCCAAGCGCTGAAACAGTCCGCAGTACTGCAGTAATACCTGAAGGACTTACTGTTATATTTACACCAGTCGAACAGGACCAAGTTATTACGTCGCTGAGCAGCCTGAGACTCTCCAATACTCTGGCGAAGACGTTCCCGGAATGCATCCTGGAGATCAGGTACAACAGCCGCCTCAATCTCGTTGCCGTGGACGTGAGAAACGGACAGACAACACGAGGATTGCTACGCTGCACAGAGCTCTGCGGAATCAAAGTCAAAGCATACGAGCCTCTCCCCAGACACTGCGCCACAGGTGTAATCAAAGATGTGGACACTACGCTGACTGACGAGGAGATCACCAACAACTTAAGATCTCCTGAAAACAGAGTTGCACGTTTGCGACGGCTAGGTAAACGTTCGGCAATTAAGATCTCTTTCTGCGGATCTTCGCTGCCAAGCTTCGTCTACCTTGGACTTGTTCGGCATCCAGTTACTCCATTCCAAGAGAAACCTGTCCAGTGCCGCAAGTGCTGCCGCTATGGACACCGTGAGGCCTCCTGCAAGCACAGTCCTGTGTGCAAGCGCTGCGGTAACATGCACGAGGACAGGGACTCCTGCACTGCTCAAGAGAAGTGCGTAAACTGCGGAGCCGCTCACTCTGCTACATCAACATCCTGTTCTAAATGGCAGCAAGAAAAAAAGACGAGGAATTATGCCAAGGAACATGCAGTCGATTATTATAGTGCCAAAGCTGCAGTTCAAGCATCCGACTGGCCCGAGTTGCCCAGAAAAAGTGAAGGGTCTTCTTCAACAACGCAAGACACATTGACTAGCAAAACTGAAAACCAGCGGCCTGAGAGACCGACCTATGCTACACTAATCAAGCTTCCCAGAAAGGACAAGCCAGAGGCACCTCTGACTAAAGAAGGGCCCAGTTCAAACGGAGCAAATGCACTCGAGGATCCGAAAACTACAGGGAGCGCGCCCACCGAACCAAGACAGCGCAGAGCAACAAAACGGAGGACTCTGTCCGTTTCAACAGACACAGCTCCAAGCAAGGGGTGGGTCTTGAACCTTCAAGCAGCAGCAAACTTCGCCTGTAGGTTCTTGGAATCTGTTGATGCAGAATGGGCCCGTAGCATTCTTACACTTCTTCAACTGGCCCTTCCCCTTATTCGATCTTTGTAAATGGCGACCTGTAGTCCCCCTGCATCCACCACACCACGGTCTTCTTCAGACCTCACGGTATGGCAGTGGAATTGCCGAAGTTTTCGAAAAAAACGCTGCAGTCTCATCCAGTACATCCAATCGCACACTCCCCCACCCGACATCATCTTTCTACAAGAGCCTCGTACCCTTCCCAATCTCCCTGGATATGTAACATATGTGGCACATAATGATCCTGATAAAGACCACCTTGTGGCAACCCTAGTCAAGCGCGTTCATACCGCCGTCGACTTAACCTTCGACAGCCAGGCCGTTCCACATGTATTACTTGAACTCCTTCCTGCAAATGCACGCACGCGTAACACCCAATCCCTCTGTCTACTCAATATCTACAGCCTCCCTCAAGATCGTCATGCACGGTTTGACAAGTTGTTTGAAGCCGCACGCTGCAAGGGTTGCGCCACAATCATTGGAGGCGATTTTAACGCTCCGCATCCAACTTGGGGTTACCCTCGCGACACACCTAAAGGCCGAAAGCTCCACACTCTGATTCAACAACAGAATCTCACTTTACTTACTGATTCATCGACACCCACACGTCTTGGAACCAGCGTTGCACGAGACACGTGCCCAGACCTTACCATGTACCGTGGCACTAAACCCTGCACCTGGCAGAACCTTGAGGAACAGCTCGGCAGTGACCATTCGATTCTTGAAACCCGTATCCACACTAAAGACTTCACAGGGGAAGCACGCCACATTCGTATCACAGACTGGCCTGCCTTTCGCGCATCATCCTCCTGTTATACCTCCTCCGACACACTCACCGATTGGGTGCAGGCACTGCAAACCCGGCTAAACCAACACACGCGCACCCTTACTACCACTCCAGATGCACCGGATATAGACTCCCACCTACTCCATCTGTGGGAAGCACGTCGTAGCCTAACCAAACGGTGGCGACGTCAACGCCGCAACAAGAAGCTAAAACTACGTATTGCCCAACTTACTGTTGATGCTGCAGACTATGCTGCCAACCTTACTGGTGAAAACTGGCACGCGCTATGTGACAATCTCAATGGCACGCTCGGTACCGCACGAACGTGGTCCCTACTGCGTCACCTCATACAGCCCGGTCAAGCCAAATCGGACAGGGCCAAGGGCATTCATAAACTTCTACGCGCCACTAACCTAACAGACGCCCAATGCCTCACTCAGCTACGACAACGCTACCTTCCCCCTCCTGACGCTCCACGTTACGCGGACTACATGGGTCCCCCCAACACACTCTCTTATCTTAACGCACCGATCGCAGCAATTGAGATTCGCGCTGCACTGACCGACATACGCCGCAACACATCCCCTGGTCCTGACCAGGTCCGCTACTCTCTTCTCTACAACCTCTCTGATTCGGACACCACGCAGCTTACTACCTACTTGAACGAGGTGTGGGAGTCGGGTACCCTTCCCAAGGAATGGAAGGAAGCCACAGTGGTTCTGATTCCCAAGCCTGACAAACCCCTCTCCTTGGAGAATTTGCGCCCGATTTCTCTTACCTCGTGTCTGGGCAAACTGCTTGAGAAGGTTGTACAGCTTCGCCTCCACAAATTTCTTGCGGACACATCAGCTCTTCCCGACACCCTTTATGGCTACCGTAGTGGCATTTCTACCCAGGATGTGCTGCTCCGTCTCCAACACGATGTTTTAGACTCGCCGAGCACTGCCCAATACCGCGCCGTCCTTGCCGCAGATCTTAAGGGGGCTTTTGACAACCTCTCCCACGACCTTGTCCTTGAACAGTTGGCAGCCACTGGCTGCGGAGTGAAAGTGTACAATTACGTCCGCAATTTCCTCCGTGACCGATCTGCCAGCCTCGTCCTTAGTCATCTTCGCTCTCCTTCCGCGCCAGTGGCAAACCGTGGCACACCGCAAGGCTCTGTACTTTCTCCGCTCCTGTTTAACCTTGCCATGCGAGGTCTTCCTCCCCTTCTGGATCAGATCTCGGATGTCAGACATGCAATTTATGCAGATGACATTACTGTCTGGGTAACGAAAGGCTCCCTCGGACACATAGAGACTCAGCTACAAGAAGCCGCTACTACCATCGAGCACTACGCCCGGCGTGGAGGCCTCACCTGTTCCCCCACGAAGTCAGAATTACTAATCGTGAC